CCCCTGCCCACACTGTTGTGGTTCTAGTCAGTCCCTGCTATCCCCTTGTCTGTCAGCCAATCAGGCATCCCTGCCTGACCCTGCGGGAGTGTCCCTTCCCCCACCCTGGTCACATGGCTGACCGCTACTGAACCCCAGAAGTCGATCTCCAATGCCCCAAATACTGCTGAGCCTGGAAGCCACAGAAAGCCTTCCTGCCCACCCAACAGGAGCCAAGCCAAGGACTCTGGTCTTCCAGTGATTTGGAGCCTGGTGTCCGCTGCTGGGAACACACGGGTAAGTCCAAAGCTTAGAGTGTGATAGACAAAGTGTTTTTTTTTAAGTGTCCGTGGACTCGGTGTTGAAGTGTGATCACCACACACACTGACCCAGAATGCTAGACAAACTCTCCAGACAAGCCCTGGGTGTCTGCCTTTCCTTTGAAAAATTGTACTGTATTCGTCATCCTAGTGCCTTGAGTCCACTGACTCGGGGTGTGAATTCTCCGAAGGAATGGAGGTGAGTGGGGACTCTTGCGCTCCCGGAACCCGGTGAATCACTTCAGCTTGCTTCCATCTGACAGAGCAAGTCTCCTTCGCTTCTAGGCCTGTGTATTTCTGTTTGTCTTTATAACACGTGTGAGACTGGCAATACTTAAGAAGCACCCAGAAGCAGGAGGCTTGCCTCTTCTCAGCCTGAGAGTTGGAGAGAGACAGACTGCCACTGTTGGAAACACCGGGGATAAAGAAAGACCAATTGCTAACTCTTCATTATGCATTTTTGTTTCTAGGTTGTGGATATGGTACCTGCCATGATTACTGTCAATTGCTCAGGGACATTTCTTTTTCTTGTTCTTCTCTTCTGGAGTATAGGAGTTTGCTTGGCAGGCCTGAACAACAAATGAGCCTCCAGTCGGAAGGCGGCCTTTCTCTGGCTTCTTTATTTTGTTTGGTTTGTGTGAGTCAAGGTAGCCTGTGTCCTAGGCTGTCCCAGGACTGGCTATGCAGCACTGACTGCTCCTGAACTCCTGCCTCCATCTCTCAAGTGCTGGAATGACTAGGCTGGGCAACCATGCCCGCCTTCCTTTGTCTGGCTTCCAGCTCAGCTTCCTAAGGTCTAGCATGGTCCTGTGTCATTTTTGTCAATCCATTTGATAAAATCATCCAGGGTGAACCAGAGGGTAATTTCCTTCCTGAGATACTCTGGGTTCACCAGACATGATGCTGTCTGGTTAACATTCTTAACCATAAAGGTCAAATGGCTTAAAGGACAGGTGGGCGAAGAAAACTCCCAGACGGCAGAGTACAGTGCAAACATTGTCTAGGTAGTTGATGTCTAGAGCTACGGCTGCCTAGCACTGAGGACAAATCAGCATCCTTTGCCTTTCTTCCCTAATAATCAGCCTGTTGTTTCATTCAACTATGTCCAGGCCTCTGATGTGCATATCTGGATGGATGTGCCTGAATCAATGTGCCCTGAGGATGGAGCAGGGCGGAGGATGTTTAACTGGTAGATGATTCTGTCACTAGTGTTTTGATAGTCATGAGATGCTATATATCTTTCTGTTTTTCGTTTGTTTTGTTTTTTTTCGAGACAGGGTTTCTCTGTAACTCTGGCTGTCCTGGAACTGGCTCTTGTAAACCAGGCTGGCCTCGAACTCACAGACATCGCCTGTCTCTGCCTCCCGAGTGCTGGGATTAAAGGTGTGTGCCATCCCTGCTCCAGCTTGTTTTTGTGTTTTTATTTATGTGCATTGGTGTTTTGCATGCTTGAGGGTGTCAGGTCCCCTGGCACTGAAGTTACAGACACTGTGAGCTGCATGTGGGTGCTGGGAATTGAACCTGCGTCCTCTGGAAGAGCAGCTCGTGCTTTTAACCACTGCACCAGATCTCCAGCCCCTGGTGCTATGTGTCTTTAAGGCTGGCTATATCACTATGTCCTGCTACACTGGGTGGGGGACTCTGGGTGTCTCTGTACCTCAACGTCAGAGTATCTGCTTTGCTACGAAAGTTTTAGATTGTTCTTGAGGATCCTAGATTCTGGGCTGGCCGAAGGGACATGGAAATGTGCTGACCAATATCTCAGAACAAAAGAAAATTTGGTCTGAACTGTGAACCATACTCAAGGCCACGGTGATTTGGGACTCAAAGTGGATGGGGAAATGGTGGTACTCTAGCTGGGCAAGGGAGGGCCTGGGGATAGGAAAAAGCTGTCCTTGCAAGTTCTTCCTTTGCTGCATCCAGGGGCCATTGCCATAAGTCTTTTGTAATCTATCATAGTAGGTGGCTGGAGGCGTTCGTACTCTTCAGACAGAACTCGCTGTAATCTACTGAAGGTGCTGAGAGAGTCAGCTTGTCTAGGCTCCTGGGCTGTGGTGAGTGCAGGACTTCAGCCAGCGCTCAGGGAGGGCCTGGAGCCCAAAAGTGGGAGACTGGCAGAAGCCCATGCCGGACCCCTTCTTCTTTCGCTCTTCCCTCCCTCCTTTCTCTTCCATTCTCCCCTTCTCTCTCCTTCTCTTACTCCCTGGGCTTAGAAATCAGAAATAATTCCGTTTGAATCCTGGCTCCACCAGAGCCACTATATGACTTGGAACAAATTATTTAAGTCTCCTTGTTGCTACTTCATCTTTTTTTCAGTGTGTGTGTGTGTGTGCCCTCGCGTGTGTGTGCACGTGTGCAGGTTTGTGCATGTGTGTGTGTCTGTGGACGCGTGCATGCACGCGCACACGTGTATCTCAAGCTCAAAGCCATTGTGGGATACATGAGATGCTGTCTTAGGGAAAAATTAAAAATAGACATCTAGATAAAAGGGAGAGAGCTGCACTGCTGCAGTTTAAAATATGAATGTAATTGATTCGTCATCTTTATCATGTATGTGTGGTGTTCACTTGTCACACAAGTCTGTGGGGGTCAGAAGACAACTTTGTGGAGTCAGTTCTTCCTCCACCTCTGTGGATTTGGGGACCTGAACTCAGTCCCCAGGCTCTGGGGGAAGGCTTCAACCCAGGGACATCTCACTGGTCCGACTGGGATTTTAGCTGGCTCATTTTAAAGGTAAATTGTTGATGAGCTGTGTTAGGGGAAACGTGGGGAGTTCCAGGAGTGGGTTGGGATTTCCTCCAACAGGACTCATTCTCCATCTGTGCTTTCATATGGGGCTCTCCGGTGAATTATGATGTCAAGACAGCACAGCAGAGGGCAAGTTTGCAAAGCTACTGAGATGGAGCTGCCACCCCAGTGAGGTGAAGGAGAGTTAGTAGTCATCCTGGAGGTCTGTCACCCAGCTCGCCACTGCACCAGCCCTAGACACCTTGCTGCTTGCTTTCCTCCTGGCCTTCCTTCTCTCCAGCCCCCAAGACAGTTATTGTCACCAGTGGTGTTCAGAGGACTCAGCAACCAATATGCCTCGACACTGGCCAGTCATAATGGCCAGCGGTCAGGGAGGCTGCACACCAGCCAGCCTACAGACAGCCTACAGACAACAGTCCAACAGTTATCACACTTGTTGGCACAATCGATCCATCTTGTTTGTTATTGTTTGGTTTTGAGATAGGGGCTCACTAGATAGCCTTAGTTGGCCTGGAATTCACTGTGTAGACCAGGCTGACCTCACACAAAGAGATCCACCTGCTTCTGCTCCTGAGGCCTGGAATGAAAGGGGTTTGCCGTCATTCTTGGGCTTCGTTATTTATTTTCTATTGCTCGAAAGTTCTTGAACATGCAGGATGTGGTGGCGAACACACCAGGTGTCATGGTGAATACCTTTATTCCCAACACTCAAGAGGTAGAGACTAGCTTGGTCTACACAGTGAGTTTCAGGCCAGCTAGTGCTATATAGTGAGACTCTGTCTCAAAACAACCACAACAAAATAAAACTGGAAAAAATAACACTGAGCCTTTTGTACCAGTAACTCATGGTTACGGATCAATTCGGTGTTCAAAATCTTTTACCGTCAAGTTTGACACTTCATTATTTTTATGGTAAAAATATATTTTTAGAAACTGTAAGGCTAAGAATTCTGTGTAGTTCCCAAAACAGACAATCTAGGTTTGAATTTCTCTTTTGCCATTTTGACAGTAATTTAGATTCTGCCTCAGTTCCAGATCTGTATAAGGGTGCTAATATGGTTGATGTGGGGCTCGGGGGTTGAACACTTGTTTAAGATAGGCTATGCCTTGGTGACAAACGCCTTTCATCCCACCACTTGGGAGGAAGGCAGGCGGATTCCTGAGTTCCAGACCAGCCTTGTCTATATAGTGACTTCTGGGTCACCCAGGGTTATACATAAACTTTGTCTCAAAATAAACAAATAAATTTTAAGTGGCCTGGTGGTGGTGGCACATGCCTTTGATCCCAGCAATCTGGAGGCAGAGACAGGAGGATCTCTGTGAGTTCAAGGCTAGCCTGATTTACAGAACAAGTTCCAGGATAGCTAGGAATACACAGAGAAACCCTGTCTCGAAAACAAACAAATAAAGAAAAGAGAGGTAAGGCTGTGGGCTGCATCCTCGGCGGAGTAGATTACTGTTACTACTAACACTATAGCACTGAGACGATTCTATCAAGTCACACAGGAGAGCACTCGAAATACTGCCCATTATCGGCAGCCATTATCATCTATATTTCATTTTTTAATTTATAATTTTATTGTTTTGTGTGCATATGTGTGTTCTGGTGGACATGCACATGAATTTGTTGTACATGTGGAGGCCAAAGGTTAACCTAGGGTACCACGCCTCAGCATCCTGTGTTTTGAGACAAGCTTTCTCATTTTCACCTGGAATTCTCAAACTCAGCTAGGCTGGCCGGCCAATGAGTCGCAGGGACCGCCCTGTCTCTGACTCTCCATCACTGGGATTACAAGTGTGCATCACCACATCTGGCACCACATCTGGTTTTGGCGAAAATCGGTTCTGGGGATCACACTCTGCTGGCAAGGCAGGACTTACTGACTGGGCCATCTCCCTGGCCTCCTGCACCTTTGATGTTCTGAAGCTGTGTTCATCTTTTCCTCCGTAGTGATGAAGGTGGAAGAGGAGACGGCTGGGGTTGGAAAGCTGGATCCTACGGTCTACAGGAGGAGACAGCCAGGTCAAGGTGATGACACTTTGAAAGCCCGATGTCGCTCCCACAAGGGTCTGTGCATCCCTGAGTGTCACTGGACCAGCAGTCATAATTGGAGACCGAGAGAGCTCTCCTGCTTTGACTGTTGCCAGGGTGTTCCCGAAGTTGGTAGAACCAGCTGTCGGGTCCTCGCAGATATGTCCAATCTAATCCAGGCTCACAGGCTACTAAGTAGCTCTGACTGTGGCCTAACACCGAACCATAAGCTTACTTTTAAACTATTATGAAGGAGCTGGGTGGTGGTGGCGCACGCCTTTAATCCCCAGCACTTGGGAGGCAGAGGCAGGTGGATCTCTGTGAGTTCAAGACCAGCCTGGTCTATAAGAGCTAGTTTCAGGACAGGCTCCAGAGCTACAGAGAAACCCTGTCTTGAAACCCCGCACCCCCCCCCCCCCACACACACACAAAAACCGATTATGATGGTCAGGTGGTTGTGACACACACCCACTTGGAAGGCAAAATAGGCAGGTCTCTGAGTCCGAGGCCAGCCTGGTCTACAGAGCTAAAAGAACTCCCCCCCCCCCCCCGGGGGGGGGGGTGTGTGTGTGTGTGTGTATATATGTATATATGTATATATATATATGATGGACTGGGAGAATGACTGTGTGGGTTAAGCATTTGCTATCTGTTGTGCACAAGTGTGAAAACCAGAGTTTAGCTCCCCAGAACACATGTAAATGTTGGGTGCGTGGGGAGTTCCAGGAGTGGAATTTTAGCACTTGGAAGGCAGAGATAGGGATTCCTCAGAGCAAGCTGCCTGGGTTGACAAGCCCAGGCATCCAGCTGTGGGTGCGTGAATGGATAATGGGGAGAGTAACCAAGGAAGACAGCTGACATCAGTCTTGGGCCTCCACAAACACAGTGTGCGCATGCGCATGAGCCCATCCCGGTGAACAAGTGTACACAGTGTGCGCATGCTCATGAGCCCATACCAGTGAACAAATGTAAACGCCCCCTCCCCCACAGTTTTCTGTACAGTTTTTGAGGCGTGAACTTGGTAGCTGACACGGTCACACCACAGGGACAAACTACTGAACTGAACTTGTCTCGAGGGACCACATGACTGGGAATTTTGTCTGAGTGGACCGAGGCAGAGTTCCCCCTGACAGAAAGCCATTGAATTCACGAGTGCTCCCAGCTATGATCAATGATAGATACCAACATTTAGTAGATTCTGAAAAGAGCAACTCAGTTAGAACCTGCGCGGGCAACTGTGGGGCTGTTTTTGCTGGTGCAGAATTGCTGGCTTGGGGCCCCTAGAGCTGAAGTTACAGGCAGGTTATCGCGAGCTGTTGGTATGGGTGTTGGGGACCAAACTCAGGTCTTCTACAAGAACAGCCTGTGATCAGAACTTCTGAGTCATGATGCTTTGATTTTTACAGTGATGGGAAAACAGAAGCATCCAGGAGAAAGCATGCTTCAGGTTTTGAATTGGATTTATTTTCCTGGGCTTGTTGGTTGTCAATGCTGTGGAGAGGCAAAAGTGAGAGATGCCCCCGCCGCCTCCCTTCCCCCCACCACTGTGTGCATATTCTAACAGAACGCAATTCCCAGCACCTGCTGAGTTGGTTCACAGGTGGAATTCTGTCTTCCCCAGGGTTGGGACTTTGGCTCTACCAGGCAGCCGGTGTTTCCATGCTGCTTTGGAAGCTGTCGCTGTAACTGTAACTCTGTTTCCACAGATTTTCCTTCAATACATATTGGGTTTCCAGTCCCCAGTTACACTCAAAGGAAAAGTGACTCAAAGGGACATCTTTCAGGCCTGCCAAAAGTGCAGTGGGCTCTGCAGCCGGACAAGCCACAGCAGGAGCTGGCTGGCCCAGGGGTCAGGGCCAGCGGCCAGGAAGGCGGCGTGGATCTTACCAAAAGGACTCGTAAGTTCCTTCAAGGGCTAACCTGCTGGTGGGAGTTTCTCTGTGGAATTCGGGTGATTACCATGGGCTCAGCGTCGACTTGCAGGGCTCCACTCCTCTCCTCTCACTGACACAGCTAACCGGAGGCACTCCGTGCTCACTCTGTGTCTGAGAACTGTGCTCTGGGTGGGGGATGGCTCACAGCATTTGCCCAGCACACAGGAAGCTCTGGTTCCATGCCCAGCACTTGAACTGGGCATGGTGGCCATGTGTTTGTAGCTCCAGCACTGAGGGGTGCTTTCGTCTGGCTGAGGTTTGCAGGGGTGTTTTCATCCGATGCTGCCCCATCCACTTGCTTTTGTTTTCTGTGCTTTTGGTGTCAGTTCCCAAAAGTCACCAGTGGGACTATTGTCTAGGAGATTTCCCTGTGTTGGAGGTGAGTTTTGTGGCTTGGAAATTTAAAAAGGTTTTTTTGTTTGTTTGTTTGTTTACATTTATTTTGTGGGTGAAGGCTTGTGTTGTGGTGAAAGTGTGGCACTCAGAGGACATCTTGTGGGAGCCTAATCTCCCCTTCCATCACGTGGGAGCAGGGAGCCAGGGCACAGTTCGAGTCGTTGACCACTGAGCCATCCCTCCAGTCCCTGGCTTGGAGGTTTTACTCTGGAGTCTTTAATCTCTTTTGAGATCTTGTGCATGGCACAAGGGTGTCTGGTTTCATTCTTTCGCAACAAATATCCGTTGTTTGCCAATACTATTAATAAAGTAACTGTCCTTTCCCCATTGAATATTCTTGCTACCCTGGTTACATACCGATTGACTCCATGTACATGGATTCACGTCTAGACACCTTCGCTTCCTCTGTTCCATTGCTCTGTGTGTGCTTTTATCTTATTTTGTTGTTGTTGTTTACCAGTACTGTGCGGTTTTGATTCACTGTATCTCTGCAGTACAATTTGAAGCACGCAATAATCATCTGAGTTAATCCTTACATCTCCCTGAGGGAGAGGTATATCATTATCCTGTATTTGTTTTAGAAAACCAAAGTTCAAAGACACGATGCATAATGCAACCTGTAATCAGGGAAGCTGGGAAATGAAGCGTTGACTCCCAAACCTGTGTGAATGTTACTCTTCATCAGTAGTCAGCAACAGAGACAGGCTGGTTGGGAATAAAGAGAAATAATAGCATATTCTCTTCCTCCCTCCCTCCCTCCCTCTTCTTCCTTACCTTTCTCTGTTCTCAGTGTGCATATAATTTAGGAGCTCAATTTGTACAAGTTGTTCAAGCTGCACTCAGGCCTAGAATGTGCGATGAGTAGAACCCTCAAGCCACAATGAGCATGGACAAGAGACATGCTTTCTATACTGGAAAAGAAACGGTTTTCTTGTCTGAGAATCTCTTGAGACACCATGGAAGCAAGAGTCTTAGATGCACACAGTCATCTCCTCTCTGCTCAGCTGCTAATGAGAACTTGGCCCACGACCCCATCAAGTGGGAGCAGACCCAAACTGGGATGTCCCAGCATTTAGTCCCCTCATCTGTAGGTGGGAGGCTGTGGTGGATACCAACTACCCTGGTCTTCGCAAGGTGGAGGTATTTCCAGGGAGGAGGAGGCAGGACTTCCGGCGATAAAATCATGTCTGCTCCAGGTGACCTGGATGGCTGGCCTCACCAGACTGCCAGGGTTACCAAGCGAGATACAAACAGGTAGAGTACTTGACACGGCCCATTGTGCCTGGCTGGCTCTTAACCTCTGTTGGCACCCTTGCATATGTTAACCCACGCTGAGAGCCCAGGGCCCCGTGAGCACAGAGCCCAAGGCTTCTCCTCCTCGAGCAGACATTTACTGCTGCGGAGATGCTTATAGCTCTTGCCGGTGGGAGTGGCAAGAGAAAAGTGCTGAAGCTATCTTCTGTTTGCTGTCATAGGCCATTCAAACACCAGAAGTGGGGCTGGTGAGAGGGCTCAGCAAATATGAGCTCTGGCTCCTCTTCCAGAGGACTTAGGCTTGACTCCCAGCACCCATGTGGTGGCTCACACGGGTCTGGAATTCCGGTCCCAGTGGACCCAATGCCATCTTCTGCATCTGTAGGCACCAGGCGTGCACCCGGTATACAGACATACATGTAGACAAAGACCCATATATATGCAATAAAAATGATTGAAAAGAAAGAAAAAAAAAACAAACCCTATCCAGGATAAGCAGCAAAGGAGAAGAAAGGCTATTTCCTATACAGATTCTGGAGTCTTGTAGTGGTGGGAGCGACGGGCTGCGGCCTGGCTCCCAGCTAGCTTTACCCAAAATAATTACACAGAAACTGTATTCTTTTAAACACTGCCTGGCCCATCAGTTTCAGTCTCCCATTGGCTAATTCTCACATCTTGCTTTAACCCATATTTAGTAATCTGTGTACCACCACGAAGTGGCGGCTTACCGGGAAGAGTCTAACCACCGTCCATCTTGGATAGGAGAAGCATGGCAACTGCCTCACTTCCCTTCTTCCCAGAATTCTGTTCTGTCTACTCCACCTACCTATGTTCTGACCTATCAGGCCAAGCAGTTTCTTTATTAATTAACCAATGAAAGCAACAAGTAGAAAGAAGACCCACCTACATCAGAGTCTTAGAGTCCCAAGACTTCAGAGACAAGAAGTCTTTCACGTTGCCTTTTGTTCGTTCCTTCCTTTCCTATGAGCGCGCACGCTCTCTCTCTCTCTTCTTCTCCCTCTCTCTCTCCCTCTCTCTCTCTTCTCTCTCTCTTTCTCTCTCTCTCTCTCTCTCTCTCTCTCTCTCTCTCTCTCCTTCTCCCTCTCTCTCTCTCTCTGGCAGGGTGTCATGTAGCCCAGGATGAGCCCTAACTTGCCATGTAGCGCAGGTTGGCCTTGAACTCCTGATCTTGTTGCCTCCACCTCCCAAATGCTGGACTTATGGACATGTCCACCAGTGGTGCCAGGGATCAAACCAGGGCTTTGCACATATTAGGCAAGTGCTCTACCGACTGAGCCGCATCCCTGGCCCCTTTCCCCATTTCTGATGAGGAAGGGCAAAGGCAGAGGACTAATTTCTCTCCACAACGTCTCCTCTACTCAAGGGTCTCCGAGGTAGGCTGATTCAAATACACACTCAGAGACGAAACACCCTGACAAAAGGCAAGCTGGAGAGGAAAGGGTTGACTTCGTTCACAGTTCCATGTAAACAGCTCATTATCAAAAGCAGTCAGGACAGGAACTCAATCAGGGCAGGAACCTGGAGGCAGGAACTGATGCAGAGGCCATGGAGGTATGACGCCTACTGGATTGCTCCCCGTGGCTTGCTCAGCCTGCTTTCTTATAGAACCTAGGACCACCAGCCCAGGAATGGAACCACCCACAATGAACTGGGCTCTCCCTCATCAATAACTAATTAAGAAAAATACCCTAAGCCAGGCAGTGGTGGCGCACACCTTTAATCCCAGCACTTGGGAGGCAGAGGCAGGTGGATCTCTGCGAGTTCGAGACCAGACTGGTCTACAGAACGAGTTCCAGGACAGGCTCCAAAGCTACAGAGAAACCCTGTCTCAACACCCCCCCCCAAAAAAAAGAAGAAAAAAAAGAAAGAAGAAAATACCCTATAGGCCTGCCTACAACCTGAATTATGGAGGCATTTTCTTAATTGAGGTTCCCTTCACTCAGACAACTTTATCTTGTGTCAAGTTGATGTAAAATTATCTAGCACAGGTTTCTTTTTTAAAAAGATTTATTTTATTTTTTTTTTAATTATGTGGATGTCCATGTGAGCATTAAGATTCTCCAGAGCTGGAATTCAGACAGTTGTTAGCTGTCTGGCGTGGGTAACTGAACTAGGTCCCAAACTCAGGTCCTTTGGAAGAGCAGCAAATGCTCTAACCACTGAGCCATCTCCTCCATGGTCCCATCTGGCCTTGACTTATAGCAATCCTCCTACCTCAGCCTCCCAGGTAATGAGGTTATGGACATGAACCACTATACTAGGCCTGTGTGACTTTTGTTTGCTTTTTAAAAAGTTGTATTATTTTTACGTATGTTCCTGAGTGTGCATATGTGTACCGTGTGCCTGCACCACCAAAGCAAGAAGAGAGTGTTCAAGCTCCGCAGAACTGGAGCCACAGGCAGTTGGGAGCTACCTAATGTGGATGTTGGGAGAAACTGAACCTGGGCCTTCTGCAAGAGTAGCAAACACTCCTAACCACTGAGCTATCTGTTTGGTCCCCTGTGCCCAGATGGGTGAATGCCTCCGCTGTCTTGGCATTTCAAGAAACAACCTCCTCAGGAACAAGGTTTCTTATACTCACATAGGCCACCAGGTCCAAAGGGGACAGAGATGATCATAGTCTCTAAGGCCACCTGTGGCAGATTTTTGCTGTGGGCAGCATTTCTGACAAGCACCCTCCCAGGGTGACCTCCTGTACCCTGAAACTAGAGCGTGCTCTGGAAGAGAGGACCTGCTCAGACCTTGTTTACTTTAGGGTACAGTTCATCTACAAGAGATCAGCTTCAGTGGGCAGCTAAGTCTCAAGAGAGAGCCAGGGGAGGAAGGAGAGACTTCTAAGAATCGGGTCTCTGCCAGGGGAGCGTGGGGGCTCGCAATGCAAGAGCAGCAGGGCAGCTGACTCAAGGCTTGAGCTGGAGGAAGCGGCCTTGAGTCCCCTCTCTGGGGCTGTAGGCCTCTTCCAGGCGGGTCTATTCATTCCCCTTTTTTGTCCTCACCCCAGCTCCCCACCTTCATGTTCACAACCCCAGGAACCATCAACAAAGGCAGCTAACCGAGAGACCCAGTCCAACCTTTCCAGACATGAATCGGCCAGCGACACAAGTCATGTGTCACCCAAAGATGGCTTTCGGGGGGGGGGGGTGAGAAACACAGGCTGGGCCTATGTTCCCAAACCACCTCCCACAGCAGGGGGGATTCCTGTGAGCATAAATGGGCAGGCTCTCTTCTCCCGCCTTAGAGGACACATTTGGAGTTTTTGTACAGAATCAGGAAAAGGAATTTTGTAAGCCATG